CCTTCACAGCCCTGCTGAAAGGTGCCTTCCAGGGGAAGTGCCAGCACAGCGTCCTGGGTGATTTCCAGCCCTACATGCCGGGGCAGGCCCACATCCCCTGCTACTTCATCCACGTCGTGAAGAAGACGGCCTGAGGGAGCCATGGAGATGGGACTGTGGTGGTTGAGAGCTGCAAGCGGCTCTAGGGACAAGTAGGGGGCTGGGGACATTGCTGAGAGCTGCCTGGCAGCCCCCTTTCCTTAATTAAGAGCACTTCTGAGAGCTACCGGAGCCCGTGGTCCATGTGTCGTGTATGAGCAGGGTGCAGGGCGAGGGGAACAGCCACAGCTGCTTTAGGACTCCCAAAGAAGGAAGCACCCAGCCTGGGGGGAAGCTTCACCCCCTAACCTGGCTGCAGGTGTCATTCATGCCTGTGGTGTGGGGTTTGGGGCTCCCCCCCCGAAGCAGAGGCAAGGGTGGGCTGTCTCCTAGATACTTGCATGTCCCTGCCAAGTGCCGTTCACAGGTGTGAACCACAACTGGTTTTCTCCTTTGAACCCCCCCCTCCTCACCTCAACCTGATGTTTTTCTTGACACTCCCTCAGTCCCATCCAGAAGTGCCCACCCCTGCCAGGGCTTCCAGGGTAGGGGAAAGCTCAGCACTCCCTGTCAGCATTTTTGCTGTGGCTGCAGCTCCTTCCTTCCCCACCCTGGGGAAGAGGTGGCGGCCAGATCCAGCAGCGTGTTGTGGTCACGGACAGCTCTGTCCGAACACGCTCAGGTGCCAGAGCTGGAGGAACAGGGCTGGAGGCACACATCAGCTGGGTCTTCCTGCCCGAAAATGCCTGCAGCTGCTGAAGAACCAGCCTTTTATGGAGGAGCAAGTTGGGGAGCTGCTCCTCGACAACCACACTTAGCTGAGGGACTGCCCCTGAGCCGCGCCAGCAGCTGCAGGGCAGCTGGCGGCCGCACACGGCTCAAGTGGGGATTTATTTGGCATCCTTGGCAAGGGTCAGGAAGCAGGACACCCGCGATGGTACCAGCAGCTGCTGTAACGCTGCAGAGGGAGGCAAGACAGGATTTCGGGGGTGGGTCTGAACCCAGCTCACACTCATCACAGGTTAGCACAGACAGAGCCGCGCCAGCAGCTGCAGGGCAGCTGGCGGCCGCACACGGCTCAAGTGGGGATTTATTTGGCATCCTTGGCAAGGGTCAGGAAGCAGGACACCCGCGATGGTACCAGCAGCTGCTGTAACGCTGCAGAGGGAGGCAAGACAGGATTTCGGGGGTGGGTCTGAACCCAGCTCACACTCATCACAGGTGAGCACAGACAGGGCAGCTCCAGCCAGGGGTTACTTCCAAGGCTGGAGCCCTCTCTCTGCCTGTGACAAGTTATTCTTAGTATGGGGTGGTAATTTCCCCTATTGAGACTTGTTCCCCTTGCGTCTTGTCCTGTCACCTAGTGCTTTCAGGAAGAACTGGGCTCCCTCATTAGAGGCAGCTCAGCTCCCAGCTGAGCAAACCCCACTCCTTCAGCCTCTCCTCATCCACCATGGTGGTCCCAGCCTGGTTTCCAGGTCTTGCTCCTCCCCTTCTACCTACAGGACATTTGTTTTTCTACAACACCCAGGGACGATCCTGAGCCCAGACACCATCAACAAGCAAAGACTTGAGGCCACACAGTGAACACCTAATTCCAAAACCCTGTGTTTATGCAGAGACCGTGTCGAGTGCAGGCTGGGTGCAGTAGCAGTGCCCTGTGTCCTGCTGCCCCCTGGCCAGCACCCCTTGCTGGAGGCTGACACCCCAACAAGCATCTGCCTCCAGCTCTTGCTACGAACCAGGGTGCAGTCAGGGCCTTGCTCCCCCACCCATGTCCTCTGTCACCTCTGGAGGCACTCCTGCATTGCCCACATTCAGGACACTGCTTCGTCCCAGTGGGGAAGCCAGTACGCTCCTAGCAGCCAGAAAGTGCTCCCTGAGATGTGAGGGACTGTTACAGAACCCAGCACCAGCCTGGCTGAGCAGAGCAGCACTTCCACCATGCTTTGGCTCAAGAAACCACACAGCCACTATTTCTACCTGTGCTTAAAAGAAGGGGGCCCAAGAGACCTCCAACAAGAGCAGGCAGGTGTCTGTTTGTGCCTATTCTCTTCCACTCCTTCACAGCCTGTTCCCATGGCTCCTCCAGTCCCAGCTCTGCTGAGCATTAGCAGGCAGCAAACTTCTGCTGGATGAGTCTGTACTTGAGCAGCTCCTGCTCAGAGACTGACGGCTGCAACCTTTCAGCAGCCTGCAGGAAGTCTTCCATGGTCAGGATCAAAGCAGAGCTCTCAGTATCCAGCCCTGCATGAGAGAAAGAACAGGAAAAGGCTGAGAGGTAAGCGCAGGGGCAGCTGGCAAGATCCAACAGCCCCCTCTCCAACCACCACTGGAAGGAAAACCTGTGTTTCTCTCCTTCCCCCTGGGGCCAAGCACTGGAGCTGAAGACAATCACATCTGCAGAAACTGCCTGCCTGCCAGTAACCCAGAGCCTGGCGTTCAGACGTGATCCCAAAGCCATTGAGGCTCTTCTCGTGCGGCCCAGTCACCAGTGGTGGTAACTCCTCTCTGGCCTCGCCAGGTCACCCCAACATGTGGGACAGGTAGGAGCCAGACCCCTACCTTCCTCAATCCATTCCACCTTGCGTTTGACAGCACACATCATGGCATCTGAGCACAGGGCGTAGATATCTGCTCCTGTCAGCTGGGATGGACATTTTTCAAGGATGGTGGTGAGATTCACAGAAGGATCCAGTTTAAACCTGCCAAGAGAGAAAATTGCAGGTGTAAAAGCCACAAAGAAAACAGACCAGGAGAGATGTGGAAGCCAGCATGACTGGACAGGAGGAATGGGAGGCCCCATGTTTAGCCACTTCAGGACTCGGCTCTACATGCTCCCAGAAAAAAAAAAACAACCAAAAGAGGTTGGTTTGCTTGTTTTTTTCAGTGCAGTTACTTCTCTTTGAAACATCCCCACAGCAAGGTTCTCTCTCCCGCTAAGTAGGATCAAAGGCAACTTTTGAGTTCTCACTCAGAGAAATTAAGTTCTCCCCATGCCTGGGAACAGCCTACAGCCAGGGCTGGCTAAGAACATGTTTAATTACAGACACTACAAACCACTGTAACACTAAACCACCCCATCAGAGCCACGCTGCAGACATCGAGCCTCCTTCTGCATGGTGCTGGAGGGCACGACTGCTGAGCCACACAATGTGAAAAGATGCTTGCAGCCAGCCCACGCTTACTGTCAAAGGCAGCAGTGATCACAGCAACCCATGGATTCACAGCGGCTCACCCCGCTCTCGTGGGTGGTACCTCTGCACCTGAATTGCAGAACTTGCTTTTCTCTCTCCAGAGATGCTCTCAGGAGCTCAGAGCAACTGGGGAAGCAGCCAAACCCTGCTGCTCAGTGATCCCATACAACCAGTGTTTGGAAAGACACATGGAACACAGGCTGAACACCCCTCAACATTGCAGGAGTAGAGGCAGCAAGATAAATGGAGCTGCCTTCACCCTCAGACCCACAAATGGCACATATGCTAGGGAAACTTGCAGGAAGCAAAGGGGAGCTTCTTGCCACCTTGCAGTGCTGCAGTCTCACCAACACTGCTAGGGGATCTGGCTGAGCATGTGGGCACGGTGGCTGGAGAACCCTAGCAAGCCCGCCCTTCACTTGGACAGCCAGCTGAGCCGCTCCCACCTCGTGGCAACGCCAGCCTCAGTTCTGTTTCTGGAAGTTGCCCCATCCTCTTCCCCTGGTTGTGGGTCAGTGACTCAGGTGCTCCCCGGGGCTCAGACATGAAGCCAAGCTGGAGCATGCATCAGCCCTAGGAAGACTGCAAACCATTGGAGGCTGGTGGAACACTGCTGCAAGAGCATAGGGTCACTCACTTTCTGGTCACAGCGCTCAGCACCTGCAGCTGCGACTCCCGGTCTTCATTTATGCCCACGTAGACCAGCTTGTCAAACCTGCCAGCAAAGAGAAGCAGGTGAGAATAGGACAAGACACATCTGCTCAGTCCTGTGCACCAGAAATTGAAGGGTGGTTCTGGGGCAGCTCCTTTTACTGTCAAGCTTGTGGATGATAGAAGGCTCAAGAGGGAAGCAGTGCTGGAGCACAGGGCTGCTCTTCAGAGGAAATGGGGCAGGCTGGAGAAACAGACTGAAAGGAACCACGTGAGGTCCAACAACAGCAGAAAGTCCTGTCCCAGGACAGACAAGCCACAGGCATGAGGACAGGCTGGGGGGCAGCTCCGCTCAACAGGCCCTGGAGGACTGATTCCTTCCACCAGTTTGGTTCCACAGCAGGCCCCTTATTTCCGTGTTGTGCTGCTGGGGCAATAACCAGAGTGGTGGGGGATAACAAGCAGTGGTACCTTGTGCTGCTGCTACAGCCATAGGCACTGGCCTCCTCTTGGCTTCCTACCTCCCCACAAGCCAAGGCCAAGGGGCTTTACGAACAGTTTCTGTGGAGGGAACATGGTAGGGACACAGTCCAGGTCCTCACCACCTTAGGAGCTCCAGGGGCAACTACCCTGGAGCAAGGCAGGGAGGATGTGACATACCTGCCCGGTCGGAGCAGAGCTGGGTCCAAGAGGTCGGGCCTGTTTGTTGCTCCAATGACAAATACTTCTCTGCTGGAATGAAGGCCATCGAGCTCAGCCAGGAGCTGTGAGACAACTCTGCAGGAAGCAAGACAGGATGCTCACAACTAGGCCCTGGTAAGTCCCCCACAGTCACCAACAGCCACCAAACAAAAAAGAGGAATAAGCAAGGCCACTGGCAGGTCCATGCCTTGGACTTCAGCTCATGTTTCTCTCTCCCGAGGAGCCCTGATGCAGTCATCCAGATGCCCCCAGTGAGCACTGTCAGCTCACTGCACAGGGAGTGCAAGCCCCCAGCACCAAGACAGTTCTTCAGGCCTGTGCTTGGCTCAGAAACCTTCCAGGATGGCCACAACATGCTTGTGCTTGCTCTCAGACACTGGCAACACAGGCAGGCACGCACAGCTAAGGCTCAAGTTCCCCCATTGGTTGTCCTGGCTGGCCCCAACTCTCCTCGCTACGTGGTACTGCCCAGCAAGTTGTCAGTCCATGCTGATGACACCCTGGAATGCCAGTGACACTGCCAAACAGCCCTCAGGGTGGTGAAAGGCACATGTTGCAGACCTAGTTCTGTGGCCACAGGGCTTAGGCTGGTCTGGCAACACCAGCACTTCAGTGCAGCAGAGGCCTCCAGGAACAAGGATATCTCTACCAGATTCTGGGACCACCTGAGGCAACCAGTGGGCACCACACCAAGTCCCTTCCAGAGCTGCTGGTTTCTGCGTGTGAAGATGGACACTGGGGGAACACAGTGTCACTGGCAAATCCCCTACATGACCTCCTCCATGGATGGAGAGGAAGACTGGATGTGGACTATCAGCTCAGCAGAAGAGGCCTGGGGGAAACAATCCTGTTTCTGGGTATCTCCAAGCTGTACATACTTCACTTCTGCCAGAGGCAGCTGAAAGGTTTCCCACCACAGGGGAACAGCAAATAAGAGGAGAGCATGGCAGGGGTGTGAAGGATGACCTTGGAGAGGCCAAAGGGAGCAGCTGGCAGACACAGAAGCAGCTAGAGGAGACTCTGTCTTAATCAAATGTTTGCAGAACAAGCTTGGGCAATCGGGAATCTGCAACAATGCAAAGAGCAGTACTAACGTCCAGAGAGAGGACAGGCCATGCAGAGGAGCTAAAGGGAACAGGGAGGGAAAAAGTAGAGAACGAGTGTTGGGATGGATTTTGCCTTGCACAGCTACCCTGTGCAACCCCTGAGGTGAGGCAGGCATGCTGCTCTTCCAAGGATGCATGATGCACACTCACCTGTCCATGACACCTCCTGAATCTCCACTCCGCCCACGACTGGGGGCCAAGGAATCCAGTTCATCAAAGAAGATGATGCAGGGAGCAGCTGCCCTGGCTCTGGCAAACACTGGGAGGAGACAGCACAAAAGGTGAGAAAGACCTGGAGGAGCAGGCAACAGCAACAGGATCTGCTACATCACCAGCAGGGAAGAGCTGTGGGTGGAAACCGGCTGCCCACTGCCTCACCACCACCAATTGCTCCTTCCGTGATGTTCAGCTGTGTCTCTGCAGGGCTGCCTTCCCACCAGGAACACCAGGACAAAAGCAACAGGAGCAGAAAGAGCAGGAGGGGAAAATGTAGCAGGCAGGGAATAGACTGGGTGTAGGAGACAGCTGGGTGCATGCCCTTGCTAGCAGCTGCGGGTGGAAGAGGGGTTTAAGCACTACCTCCTTCCCTCTAGCACCACAGAGAAGCCCCATCCTCCCACACACAGGAGCAGGATGCATCTGCTCACCGTTACGCACATTCTCCTCGCTTTGTCCAACATACATGTTGATGAGCTCTGGCCCTTTCACACTATGGGGCAGGAGAAGAAGGAGCCAATTAGAACACGACCATCTGCTGCCAGGAGAAAATCAGTCTCACTGAATGACCCCCCCCCCACTCTTCACCTAAGGAATGTCATGGCACATGTAGTTGCCACGGCTTTTGCCAGTAAGGTCTTCCCTGTTCCTGGAGGCCCGTACAGCAGCAGACCAGAGCGGCACAGACCCAGTGACAGCAGCTCTGGGTGCTCCAGGGGCAACTGGATAGTGTCCAGGATCTCCTTCTTCACCTCCTGGAGTCCACCAACATCCTGCCAGGATACAGAGGGGATCTGCCAAGAGATGGAGAGTCCCTGTCAAGACTTATTCCTGACGCTCCAAGCAGGTCTGGGCAGCTCTTGCTCCAGTGGGCTACTGGTTACCAGCCCCTCGTGCCATGAGCTGTGTCTGGCTATGCAGCTAGTCAGCCCCATGCTGCACTGCCCACCTGTCCTGGCTGCGGGATCCCCCAGTATCCACATTTCCCCTCTCCTGAGCCTTGCAATGGGGAAAACAAACTGCACATCCCCAAGCAAGGTGTGCTCGCAGTGTGCCACCTCGCTTCCAATCCTCCATTGCACCTCGTATCACCTGTCAGCAAAAATCTCCCAGTTAAAGTATCTGCCAGGGTTGCCTGCAGCTTTGTGGGGAGAGTCCTGCTGCAAACAGGTCTTGGGACACATGAAGGAAGGTAAAAATAAGAGAAAAGAAAAAGAAACAAAACTTGGACCTAGCCATTATGAGCTACTTGTGTTCAGGGCACCTTGTCCCCCACAGCAATGAGAGTGCGCAAGGGCTTCACACCAGAGTGACATAACCTGGGCTGCTAGAACGTCTGTCATGAGAAGGAGGATGCGAGAAGCAGGCATCCTGGAGGACACTACAGAAAAATCAGCTGCTTCTGAAAGGGGAGTGGATGCAAGAACAAAGTCCATAGATGCTTACAAGAAACAGATAGGGATAGGGTCAACCGCAAACACGCAAGAGATCATTGCAAAGAAAGGAAAGAGAGCAAACTTGAGAGGGGTGAGCCATGCCGCTTTCGGTATTTTAGGCTGAGCAAAGCGATCTCGGAGGATGCTGTTGCTCTGCTCAC